CCAGAGGATCATCACGAACACGTGGAACATCTCTGGTCAGGGTCAGCGCAGGGAAGGGCGTGGGGTTTACGGACCCCTTTCCGTTGTTGGTTTGAGAAGTCGTCGATGTGTCGTCATCTTGGTGGTCATGGTTCGTTTTTTTTTGTACAGCAGCAAGGGCCAGAGATCTCCTTTTTCTGTATATCGCTGGAATGTTGATGAATGATTCCGGGAGTTTGATTTGTGGTGGACATGAGGGAAAAACTTGAAGAGGGTGTCGGTTAGTGCTTGAGAGATGATTCGTCGTTCCTTGTTCCGTGATCATAGGCCGCGCTGGAAGATTCGCCGTCAACGGGTTGGGGTATAGCGTCCCGGACAGTTCTTCCCACCAGCCGCGCTCCCATTTGTGGAAGTGAAGGGAGTACTGCACTTTCCTCTCCTTCAAACCTAATTTTGCCTGTATTGGTGTTGAGTGGTTAGATGATGATGGCGGTGAGCGGTACGTTGGTATTATTGTTGTATGTTGGTGAGTAACTCATAGTAAGCTTGTATGGGGTTACATGACCTATTCGTTGTCCGATATCCGAAAGATATCATCAAGGTCCATTGCGTCAGTTTCATTCGGGTTTGCTTCGGTGGATGGCTTTTTTGGAGGAGGGCTTTTATTATCCGCAGAATTGCTTTGATGTCTTGCGTTGTTCTCATCTCGTCCTTTTTTGTTCTTGCGTTTCGTGCCAGTATCTCTGTTATTGTTCCGTTCGTTATGATTGTGTGAGTTTTTCAACTTCATCGGATTTTTGTCTCAATCCTGCAATGAGCTGAGCAATTTGTTCATCTTTTGCGATTTTTTCGTCTTTTTGCTTCAATGATTCCTGTAGAGCCTCGAGTTTTACATTTTCAAGACGTGATTGTGCGACCGTATGAGCGTAGCTGGAACCTCCTGCTCGTTTTCGTGCTTCAGGATACGAAATGCTATGATCAACCTTGATTTTTACTACTTGGAATTCCTTGTGGTAAACAGGACATTTCCTGAAGGTAGATCTGTGGTCACCGTTGCAGTTAATACAACAAGGAATCATTTCGCAGTTTTCGTCTTGGTGTTCATTGCTGCAATTGTAGCAGCGTTGGGGTCCAGAGCATCTTGAACGGGTGTGTCCGTATACGAAGCAACCGTAGCATTGCATTGGATTTGGGTAGAAGGGTCGCGTAGCCACACGTAGTACTCCTACTTTCACGTGTTTGGGGTAACTTGTTTTCCCAAATGTGAGTATGGGAACTGGAGTGTTGACGTTCGAACCATTTACTTTTCGGGAGATTCGTTTGACGTGTGAGACTCCTTGGTCAGCTAGATGCGACTCGATTTCCGATTCCGTCATGCGAATCAGGTCGTAGGATGATATAACGCACTTACATGAGTTCAGCTTGGCGTGGTACGTGACACAAAACTTCTGTCTTTTCATCCAGTTTAGTCAGAGCTAGCAGTTTCTCAACTTGTGCCGGATTTCTGACTCGCAGAGTGTACTGTGTGCATTTTGCTTCGCTAGTAGCTGATTCTATCGGACCACCAGCAGCTGCTTCGATGATTTTGCCAATTATGAAGGGATTTTCTGATAAAATTTCCCCGTCTTTTCTCGTCATTTGTAGGATGGTTAGTTGACCAAACTCGTTCCTTGGGTCCATGAAGGGTGGTAGAAGAGGAACGGGGTGCTTTCCCGAGTTGCCTCCACTACTTGGGGCAGCCATCTCCTAATTTGAATGTGCCTGTGTTCCCCACCTTAATCACGATCAGGCGAGGATTTGAAAAACAGTAAGTGGTAACAGTCACCTGTTACCTACCCCTATGGATATCTGTTTTCCAGTTCAGAGGCAAACTATCGAGTTTAGTTGTGGTCGCTCTTTTCACGTGTATCGAGAGATACTCTCGCCACTACGAAAAACAATACTCTATTGATAGCACTTTTCTTACACAGTCTCACTGATAGGAGTGTTCTGTGGTTGTAGCTCACCAAATGGTTGTGCTACACAATAGACGTTTGAGACTGATCGAGTTGTCGGACAAACCACTACCACTGTAGTTCACGTGATACGGTCGCGATACGTCGTACACTTAGTTTGCTTTCCAAGTGGAACCGATTTTCACGACCGATTTATTCTAAAATATTTCACTTTTGATGGGATAGCCGTATATTGAAATTTCTCCCCGATGCTCGAGATATATCTGCAGCCGAATCGAAGAGATTTGATAATATTAACTGATCCGAGACGTTAGATATCAGCGATAAAAGCTTTAGTAAACGCGAAGCGTGGTGCTGTCTAACTTGTTTACACTCTAACTGAGAGTTACCTCTATGCTTCAAGTAGGTGTAAACGATAGCATCGCTGAGCCGGTTCGAAAGTTAACATGTCCGGCTTGTCAGAAGTCATCGCCTCAAGCCCCAGTGACCGTCACCACGAAAAACCCAGGTTGGTAGCAAAGCGAACTCTACCTCATCGACCGGCAGCGCGCGGGCCCGAAAAGCTCACAGCTTGAGCAGCTCGAGGCCCAGACGGCATTAGCGATGAAGCGATTGGAGTTGGGACGCCGGGAACAGGAACGCCAGAGGGAACAGCAGATGAAAGAAGCTGAGATTTTGTTGGAGCAAGAAACAAGAAAAGGAAACGGAATTGGCCAAACTGCAGCTGGAGCAGACGACGCTGAATGAGTCGTTCCGCCTACGGTAGATAATTGAGCTAGATTGGGAAGAAAACGACGACGACGAAAGTTCTACATCTTAGCAGAGTTCTTTCCGCATGGTGAATAAGTGGAGAGAGAACAACTCGACGATGTTGACCTCGACGGGAAAGGCTCCAGAGATTGACCTGAACACCGGCAAAGCGACCGCATCGACCAGTGGACAAGCTAGGCAGGACGTCAAGCAGCAACCAACTAGCAACAACCAAGATGTTCTACAGAAGGCGTTGCCAGGTATTTTGTTAGGGCAGACAGATCTGGAGCAAACGTTAGGAGGACTTATCGGACGATCCCAAGGCACAATCAATCCGAAAGTTATGTGATGAACTAGCCTACGGCTAAAAATCACAAAAATAAAGAAAAAAAAAAAAAAAAAACAAATCCGAAAGTTGTTAGGGGACGGCCAATCTCTTGTATGGCTCTATACGTTGCGCAGAGACCTACAGTGCTCCCTTCCAGAAATCTCCCATTCAAACCCCTCCTAATCAGTCTCTCGGGGGCAATAACGAGAATCCTGCATCCTCAATTATTACGTCACCTACAGAAGAAAATCAAAATGGGGTGGGTCATAGAGAGTGACATTGAAGGATCTACTAGGAAAATGGTTTCCACAGCCGGCACGTTATTATTTCCGCCGGCGAAAATAATTTTGAGAGAACAGCAGGTACCACCAGGAGTACAGTCGGTGTTGCCACAACCACCACCAGGGCAACCGGTATTGCCACCGATACAACCGGGGGTACAACCGGTTTTCCACAGCTACCACCGGTGTTTTCACAGCAACCGCAATCGCCGTTGCTTCCGCAGAACGATCCACAAGTACCGCGGGAGCAGCCTCCAGGGATGGGTGGGCAGCCTGACTGGAAACCGACACCACGACAACTAGCAGCAAGGCACGTGATGGCTAATGAGTTGCCGATTTTTTCCGGTGACCCGGTAGACAATTCGACTCGGGCGTGCGGTTTTTCGGACACGGAAAACTTGGCAAGGCTGCACACATTGTTCCACCTGTTCTCGATAATCTTGGGACATTGTATGGCAGGCCGGAGCTACTAATTCACGCGTTGCTGCAGAAGATTCGAAGCGTTCCGGCACCGAAACAGGACTGACTCGATACACTGATTGGGTTCGGTGTGGCGGTGCAGAACCTTACCCGGGGGGACACGAAGCGCATCTCAACAACCCGATGTTACTGTTCGAGTTGGTTGAGAAGCTTCCGGCCCACTTGAAGCTGGACTGGTCGTTATACAAGCAGCGTTGTATAGGAGCAAACCTTCGCACCTTTTCGCAGTACATGCAGACGATGGTGCGAGCAGCAACGGATGTGACCCTGAACTGCGATCCAAAACAATACCCCATGATAGATAAGAAAAGTAGCTACAATTGAGGATTTTGAATGTTCGGCTCACTTTTTACAGTTAATTTTGGCTGCCAGTATATTGAGTGAAATTACGGACTATGCTAAACAAAGCACAGCTTTATGAAGCTTTAAGTGGATAGGCGGTTCAATTGTCAAGTGATGTAAGTAATGCACTGAATGCTACTATAATTTGAAAGTGTTAATTCATTGTTCTCAATATATTAAAACACTTATCAGGCATTATCCCGAAAATTCAGGTGCACATAATCATTTATGAACAAACAACATAAAGATAACCAAAAGACGCGATCACCCTAGCATCATCGTTGCAACGAATCATGCAAAACACCTCAACCTGAGAGTGTTTGGTTTGCTATACTGTAACTGAAGGAAGAAGGAAAACAAAAAAAAAATATCAACTCAAGCACAAGAAGAAACGACACATCATAATAAACGAAACGAAGCAAACGGCAAGAGAAAAACAAGCTTCGTTCGGATGTAAACAAACCGTGTGCTGCACTGCATCCACGTCAGGGGCACAATCCGTCCGTTCTTTCGTTCCATCCTGTGCAGGTTCAGTCTTGTCCCCTCGCGTACTTTATTCAAGGCATACACAGGCAGACAACGCACCCTGCCCTCAAGCATGTATAGGAAACAACTACATGTACGCAAATCAACCAGAGTGAAGTGCTGTTGCAGCAGCAGCAACAGCACCAAACAAACGCAGATAGGCGTCGTCGTTTTCCCTCGCTTTTTATTCGAATCGATCCCTTCTAGAGAGGCTTGGCTAGAACGACTACTACTGCTGCTGCTGCACTCGCACGGGAGTTTAGTTTCGATTCAGAGTTCGAAGCATTCAGACGTGTTTTTGTAATCGCTCTCAGAAGATTCCTGATTCAAACTGAAGGAAGCAATCGTTCGTTGATTTTGTGCAGTGTTTACAAGTGCAGTTTTATTGAAATTCAGCTCGCAAAGATGGCAATCGCATTCTACATCCCGGCAATCGATGACGAAATCGAGAAGCAATACCAGCTGCAAATGCAGCAGCATCAGCAATTACTGATCGATCAGCAGCAGAACCAGCAATATTCGCCACCACCGACTCCGACGGGTTTGACCCCGCCGCCTACTCCACCGCTAACACCGACGATGAGCCAGGTCAGCATCCACCACAATCGTTACCATCTGGTTCAGGCCTTCCACGAGATTCTGTTCCGTCACGCCCAAGAAAGTAAGTTCACCAGGAAAATCTGATCAATATTGGAGCAGAAGACTGATTCCGAATTTTCTTCAAACTTTTTTTCCACAGATAGTCCCACTCGAACCCGTTGCTTACTGTGCAACAAGCTGTACTACCTCCTCCGGAAAGTGTATTAAAATGTGTTCCTCCAGTTCCCGCCAAAATCAAATCAGTTCAAACGCAAACAAACTGAGACTCAAATATCAAACTGTGTTGCCCGTGTATTTGCTCCAGCAAAATGAAGTGACATTCATTTACGTAACGTGCCGCTGGATGCGCTTCGGATGACCCCACCAACAACTCGCTTGAAGCAAAAGGATACGGTCCCGCGAATGGGAAGTGATGGTGAGTTCAGTCTTTGCAAGCTGGCGAAAAGAGTGCGATTTTAATAGTTTTGCTTTGCTTTCTGTTGTTTGTGTCATTACAGATTCTCGAGTTGGTTTCATCATTGTTCAACGACAGTGTGTGTCTTCGGGAACGTTGGCCGAGTGGCAGGCTCTTTGGTCAAGGCTTCAGGAAGAAGCAGCACTGGATGGATCGGTGGCTTGTGTGTGATAGAAAAAAAAACATGGTGATAGTTTAAGTGTTAGTTGAAATAAATTCAAATTGCATTAAATAATTAAGTGTCAAACATGTTGAGTTGAGAAAATGTTGCCCATTATTATTTTTTTTATAGAATATTATGTTTTCAAATAAATATTAAATATTCAGTGTCATTTGGAGAATTGCTTTAACAAGATGACCGTCGATATTTGTTTTTTTGTTTTTGCGATCTTTGAAATTTTAGAAATTATAAAAAAAAACAATGTCTTATATTTAAACAAATTATGTTGTTTTTATGTCAACCGATTTCAATGAGGGAACGAGACATAAAAAGTGTCTATCGTAAATTTTCTTTAAAATTTAACAGTGTGATATGATTAGATTTTCGGTGTTATTTCTCAATGATATACACTTAAACAATTTACACTTTGTGCATTTTAAATCTAAAAGTTGTTAGTCTGGAATGTACGAAGCAAAATTCAACACTTGCTATTCGGAAAAAATAAACAAATGCCATGCGTGAGATTTTGATTTTCATTTTATAATATTTCCGAAAAGTGTAAAAACTTGATGATTTCACAAGAAAGCATCACATTATTTTCTTGACGAAAAAGTAAACTCCATGTTGTTTTGAAAAAAAAAAGATTATAGAATTTTCATTGAATTGATGTTATTATAGGGGAATTTACGTATTCTCGTCAATCTAAGCAGCGTCTGCACTTCTACTAGCATTTTCTCAGCGTCACGCACATATCTGATGTGTCTGTTTGTTTACATTCATCTGCTGCTTGCTTCTCTATCCATTCCAATCGACAGAATTTTTCAAAACGTTTTGAAAGCGTTTTTACAACGCTTCAAACTTCTCAGGTGAGTGTGACTATTGTCGGCAGCCTCTTTTTCTTCGGCAACCTTCCCATTAGAACTGCGTGTTAACCAGTTGTTCTATTATCGGCAACTAGAAATCAGCCCCATTTTGTAGTACGTATGCTTCATTTGAATAAAAATCTGGCATAACAGGATTGCTCGGTCCTACAAATATAATCAGATTGAAGCTGAAAGGCTAAACAATCGTTTGGACACATTCAGGGAAGTGCGTTGATGGGAAAACATAGTGAAATTAACGTTTAAATTTTGGTTGCCGAAAACAGTCAATGGGTGCCGAAGCCAACATTTACCCTACTTTGTTAACAATCTGAAACAAATACATGCTGTTCGATTGTATAAAATGTTTTATTTGAACCAATCCATTTGAAAGAGCATTATTTATGTAAACAGAAATATGGGGTTAAATGCGTTCCCGGGGGAAAACAACTCTTGTCTTGATGCCGGAAATGAACCAGCCTCAGGCTGAAATTCTCCCAAATAAAGAAATCCAATCCAATCGTTGGCATGATGACATGTTGCAAGTAATTTCGAAGATTTTAACGGTTACGATGGTTACGCATGGCTATTGCAGCTTCTAACATTGTGTATTTTTATTTTTCTTTAAAACTAACTGGATGCAAAAATATCAACCTACATGCACTTCTCTGGGCGCCAAAATGCATAAGGGAATTTTCCGACGCTCTTCCATTACTTTGTAGTTGTAGTCTGTTTTCATCAAGATTCTGTCAGCGTCCATGAGGAATTATAATATCACACAAAATACTCCACTTACAAATAAGTTCTGAAAAACGTTCTGCACTCATCAGATCTCTTGATTCGTTCGTTGATCTGGACATTTGAAATGAGAGTTTAACATGAGTGCGCTCGTAAGGATTGTTCTCCGCGCTTATAATCTACTCTCACTTCATCTCCACAGATTTGATTTTATTTTCTTACCGCGGGCAATAACAAGTTTGTATTTATATGGGATGCCTTAAGAATGCTCACTAGACTGTTGCAAAATTTGAAATGTTCGCTTCACAGTGCTTAAGCTGTTCCAAATCGGGTCCTGATTAGCCTTCTAAAATTTGAACTCATTTGTTAAGAAGCTGACATGGCGCAAACCATTCGAAGTTTATATGGAAATTACTATGGGAAATATTGTTCGCTTAAAAAGTTCTAAAAGTATTCTTATGGGAAATTTTCTTAGCTTAAACTTTGCACAAAATTGATTTTCAATCAAACGCCAAATTAAATATTTATTATTAAGCATTATCAAGCACCTGTTTTGTGGGCAACACTGTATTCTGCGGTGTGACATAGTAGCCACAGGACTGGTAGCAGGTCACTTTTTAGTGACTTGGTCACTATTTTGAAGCCAGTCACTAAAAAGTCACTTTTTACACCAAAAAATCACTAAAGTCACTATTTCCTTTAAACATATCAACAAAATTTTGAAATTGAGTACTTGGCACTAAGAAAGTCTACAGTAGTTTTAACAAAATATACATATCTGTTAAAACATTGAAAATTTGAACCAGGGTGACCAGTGCACCACAAAACTGTAAAGCACCTGGAACACTATTGGGAAATGACTTCAATTTCGATTAAAAGTTGGGTAAAATGTACCACCTTTCCCAGAAAATAAATTGTAAACCTTGGAAACTTTCCAAATGTATTTATCTGGTTCGATTTTTAAAAGTCTTTCAAGGATGATTAAGAACTTTAAAGGATTCTAGGGATGACACCAAGATGTATCAGAGAAGAATACCAAAGTACAGACTACGAAAGTCTTATGTAAAATTAAGTGCTCTAGGGACCGATTTCTTCATCTCCGCTTAAATCTTAAGCTAGATTTACCTATATTGTTAAACTTGGCTTAATACATACGAGCGTCGCTTTTTAATAATGTTTAAATTATTAGAGACGCAAAATTCAGCCCCGAAACAATTTTGTAATTAATTCCAATATAATTGAGAGTGCATTTTAACGAGAGTTCTGAGAAGAATTCTATGATGATTGGATGGTGATTCTAATAAGAATTTTAATAAGAATTCAAAATTATTTCTGAAATTTTGCTTTAGGGAGCTTTGATGAAAATATCCGTGAAGTCCAAAGATGGTCTCTACGGATAGTTCTAAAGGAATTCTGGGTGATTTCTGAAGATACTTCCAAGAGAATTCTAAAGAGTTCGAAATAAATTCCGAGAAAAATTCCAATGGAATCGAATTTTGAGGGTTCAATCTCAAAGGAATTCTGAGAAGAGTTTCGAAGTTATTCTGTGATGGATTTTTGATTTGAGAATTGTGAGGAAATACTATGGGAATTTTAAGGAGAATTAATGCAGGGGAGAAGTCCAAGGTTATTCGAAGCAGAAATTTATTAAATTTCTGAAGTTAATTGCATGTAAATTCTAAGGAGCATTCAAATAAATTTAAAAAAGATTCATGGAAGGAGCCCTTCAGGGAGTTTCTAGAAGAATCAACAAAAAATCGTTGAAGATGCTTTATTCAAATAACAGACTAAAGTGGTAATTTATTACGATAGATGAGGAGATAAAAGTATGAAGTTGATAGTTCCGTTAGGGTACGGCAGTGTGAAAATTGCATATAGCGAGTAGAAAGCGAGCAAGGACAACTTTTTAGGAAGGTACAAATCGGTTTTATCATCTCTCTTTACCAAACTCCCCCGTTGGAGAGGGTTGGTGAGGGGTATTCCCCCCGCCACCACTGGCAAAAAGAGATGATCATGTACCGACGATGTGTTTGAAACAGTTCTATCGATTTTTACGGCACTCAAGTTGTTATCTGAAGGGGGAGTTTGGTAAAGAGAGATGATCAAACCGATTTGTATCTTCCTAAACAGATGTCCTTGCTCGCTTTCTACTCTCTATATACAATTTGCACACTACAGTACTCCAACGGAACTATCAACTCTATACTTGCATCTCCTCATCTATCGTATACAAATTACCACTTTAAGTCTGTTATTTGAAACTCAGCATCTTCAACTATGTAAATCGTTGGCTTCACACAGAAGTGATATAAAAACATGTAGTCAGAGACCAAAAAATCGAAGATAATCTACTTTAACTAATCATGTATTATTACTTCATGCGTGAATTTAATGATTTACATAGTCTAACCGTCAAATATCAGAATTAAAGTGGAGATGTTATACGATAGATGAGGAGATTCAATTATAGAGTTGATAGTTCCGTTATAGTACGGCAGTGTAAAATTTGTATACACCAAGTAAAAAGCGAGCAAAGCGAGCACATCGAAGGTACATGAGCCAATCAGCGATCATCCTTTGTGCCAGTGGTGGCAGGGAGAAACACCCCTCACCATGCCTCATTAATGGATGAGCTTGGTAAAGGAGTTGCTCTACTCGATTCGTACCTTCCTCAAAATTATAATTTGTTCGCTTTCTACTTTCATTATACAAATTTCTCACTGCCTTACTACAACGGATCTATCAACTCTTTACTTTCATCTCCTCATCTATTGTATAAAATGTCCACTTTAATTCTGATATTTGATGTTAAGCATTTCCAACTACGAAAATAATCTATTTCCAAGAATTTTGTTGATTGTTCTGCAAAGAATTTCAAGAATGCAATATTATTTTTATAAAAGCTTAGGAGATGAGAAATTATTATAAAAAAGTTCTTGAGGTCATTCTAAAGAAATTTTGTGAAAAGTTCATAGCGAATTATCAAAATTATATACCTAGATATATTAAAAATTTAAACATTTCGAACGCAAAATCAGATTCAAGTTCATAAAAAAATGGGA